GTCTTGAAGTTTCGACAATTTCCCTTAGGTATTATGAACGGTCCCTAATTTTCCCTGAACTTATCAGTGGTTACCTGAAGTTTTCTTAGTTTGTTGTTTAACAATCCGGCAATTTGTTTGATATATATTCATAATTCCCTGAGTTTCTCGCAACTTCTTTAAGGTTTTTACAATTTCCTTGAAATTGTTTGAACTGCCCTTTGATTCTATAATCTGTCTTGATGTTCTCGAAGCTTCCCTAAAACTTTCAATTCTATTGAAGATCTCGGTTCTGCTGCTCGGAAATAAATGGAATTCCCGTAAAAACCTCTAAATTTCCCTGAAATTATCTGAACTTCTTCTGTGATGTTTCTGAAATATTTCTGAAGTTTTCATAAATTCTCTGAAGGACTCTGTACTTCCCTGTAATTCTCGGAACATTTTAAGGGTTCTCGATTTTTTTTTCAGCATATCATGGAACTATCCTGAATTTTTCTAAATTTACGATTATAGATATTGAAACTGCTTGAAAAGTCTGGACTAAAGCTACGGAAACTGCTCTTAAGGTCTGAAATTCCCCAAAAAAATCTCTAGATCTAGCTTTTCCGAGGTACTTAGAACTTTTTAAAAAAATTGCAAAATACCCCTCTTCTTCTTCTTCTTCGCATTTCAAGCTTATTGTATATCGCATATTAGCTTATTGCGTGCTCTCAACTTAGTGTTCTAGATGCACTTCCACAATTGTTAATTGAGAGCTTTCGATGCCTGTACCATTTTTGCATTGGTATAATTGTATGGCAAGTCCAATCATACTTCTATGCGCAGGGAAGTCGAGAAATTTTCCAACCCGAAAAATTCCTAGACCGAACATGAAATCGAACCCAGCCACCTCCAGCATGGTCTTGCTTTGTAGCTACGCCTTTACCGACTGAGCTAAGGGAGGCCCATACTGCCGGTGGACGCATAACTGTCCCATGTTACAAAACACAAAACTGAGAAAACTGCGATTAAAGTTTGAAAACACTTTTTGCCGTTGTCGTGAAATTTCGCTGTAAATTTCTGTTCTATTTCTTAAAACTGTCGAAATTTAACTGTTCCATACACAACTCAACAAAATTTTACCAAAAAAACTATTTTTTTTCGATAAAAAATCTTCTGGGACACTTATGCCGCGAATTTTCCTGATGAGTCGAAAAATGTACGCATATTTGTCCCACTGTGAACAATTTCTCGGTTGCTGTTGTTGTTACGTTTGACACTTCGTGCGAGTCGGGTGTGTTTTCTTTTTTATAGTGCTGATTTTTAGTGTCATCAGAAGCTATCAGAAGAACCGGAACTGGAAATGTCTGGCTTGGAATATTTGAAACAGTACGGTGGTTCCAGTGAGAGTGAAGAAGAATTCCATGGGTTTGACCTGGAAAACGGCACGGGTGAACGATTTCCGCAAGCATCACAGTCGGTAAACACTGAGGTCAATCAATCAGTTTCCAGCCAAACTGGTTGCTGCGATGAAAATTTTGAAGCCGGAACAAGCGCCGAAAAAAGCAGATCCGAAAGAGAACAAAAAGAAAACAAAATGCGTCACGAACGAGTCGTAACCTTTGAACACTTCAAATCTGTGGTTGGTTGTGCCAAGAAAAATGTTGACGTACTTGACATGGAAGTGGCTGACTTCTTCCAAGCTGAGCTAACTGTCTCACAGTACACGTTGAACTTGTGCAAGCCCCGCCCATACGTGGACACCATGCGAAAAGTGGTATTTCAAAAGGGACGTTATGAACTTGGATACGCAAGCAACATCAACAGCGAGGACCTCGTATACTGCAAACTGTTTTCCAAGAAGCAACTCCGGTTGATCGAAAAGGATACGTTCTCTCTTGAAGCTAATGTACGCTGGCAAAAGTCTCCTCGAGGAATTGAAGCGGATAGGAAGGCTTCCCTGTTGGCGGTTGTTGTACCTGTTATTACCGAAGAAGAAAAACCTTTTTTTATTGACCTTCCGACAAAGCAACAAACATCTGAATAGTAATGTAAGATTAACCGTTGTATGAATTTTTTATACTTCAAATAAATCGCATCACTTTGTTCCATCCATAGCTTTTCAATACGAGATTTTATGTCACGAAGATGTACAAATAAGCACTTAGCAGAAAGCGAATTATGTTCGCCATAGAAGAGGAGATGACAATTCTGATTTTATGATCCCTTCAACATCGGGTTAGGGAAAGTTGACTGTAGGATATTTTTACCTTTCAGGTAATCGTTTGGGACTTGTAATGTGCTTACAATATATTATTTGGCTAACAAGCTTTAAATTTGTTAAACATTTTTTTATATTTAGTTGGAATTGGTGTAGTGGGACAAATATGCGTCTATTTTCTCAATGGGACAAATATGCGTCCATTTTCTCAATGGGACAAAATGACTTCACATTTTTTCGAGCTTTTGTAGAATAAACAGTATGTTTTTATGTGATATTCGAAAAATATGCATCAAAATATGACGATTAGCATCAAAATCTCAAAAATGACGAAATGTAACATGGGACAGTTATGCGTCCACCGGCAGCATACCCCTCATGTTTTCTATATTTCTCAAGTTCGCTTGACACCTGTGAAGTTCTCTTAAAATCTAGGAACTTCATAAAAGTTCCCGAAAATTTTCGGATGCTAAAAGAACCGCTTCGAGGTTCTTAAAGCTTCCAGTAAGTTCCCCATATTTTCAGCGTATTAACTTCCCTTATGTTCCCGCAGTTTGTTTATGAAGCTTCACTGAAATTCTCATCATTTCTTTTCATTACTCATTAATTCGCCAAAGTTCCTACGAACTTGAAATAAATCTAGATAGAGCTGGAATAAGGGCGTAACAGCTTTTGTAAACAATGACTTCTTTCGATGATTCCTCGAAAATCAAGGCTCGCCAACGCAAATCAACATCACCATCGGGTAGGGGACGACTTCCTCTACCCGAAGGTTATGTTAGTTTGCGTGGGCGTGCCTTGAATTCCTAGAAATCATCGAGAGAAGTCATTGTTTACAAAAGGTGTTACGCCCTAATTCCAGCTCTATCTAGAAATCATTAATTTTTTTCCTTGATTCTGGCACTTTGTAAATTTTCAATATCTTGTACATGCAATACGAAACTTCAAGATATTGCATAATTTTAGATCTTGGAATTACTCAAATTGGGTAAGTTTTTTACAACTTTATTAAGTGAGAAATTAAGTAAGTGATAAACTTCAACATTCAATGGATTTGATTGTAAAGCTGTTTCTTTAAAACTGATTGACATGTCTTAAAAACTTTTGGGTAAATTGATCGTTGTTTTTGATCTACAAAAAAATATTTTTAAAGCATTTAAAAATTTAGCTTCATTATAAACCTGGAATTTATCCGTTAAAATACTGGAAAAACCTGAAAGTCAGATAATTTTATTTAAAAAAAATGAATAGACACCCTGTAAATAAAGAAAGACGATTAAACGCCTAAAGCAAAGAATGATCAATCTTGAAATAAATTCACACTAAAAAGTTGAAAATAGTGACTGATTACAAGAAATAGTGACTTTAGTGACTTGGCCTTAAAAAAAGAGACTTTTTAGTGACTGGCTTGAAAAAAGTGACTAAGTAACTAAAAAGTGACTCGCTACCAGCCCTGCTAAGCTCCCTGGAGGCTATGCGTTCAATGAGGCCGATGAAGCACTCGGCGTATTTCCTCCAGGAAATACGATCGTCACTGTGTGCTTTATCAAACAGCTCGCATATCATCACCTTGGTATGGGTCCCTTCTCATTGCTCTATCCCGGGCAATGAGAAAGCGGACTCGCTGGCCAAGGTGGGCGCTATGGAAGGCGATATTTACGAGCGACAAATAAACTACCACGAATTTTTCACGATTTCTCGTCAGCAAGTCCTCGCCAACTGGCAACAAAAGTGGAATGATGGTGATCTGGGAAGATGGCTACATTCTATTGTCCCACAGGTGTCGATCAAACCCTGGTTCAAAGGGTTGGATATCAGTCGTGATTTTATTCGTGTAATGTCCAGGCTCATGTCCAATCACTGTTCATTAAACGCCCACCTCTTCCGTATTACGCTTGTCGACAGCAACTTGTGTACCTGTGCAAACGGTTATCACGACATCGAGCATGTTGTTTGGTCCTGCTCCTTGCATCATGAGGCGAGATCCGTTCTGTGTGATTCCCTTAGGGTCCGAGGAAAACAACCCTTTAAGCCAATTAGAGACGTCTTGGTCTGCCGTGATATCGTCTTTATGAAGCTTATTTACGACTTTCTTAAAGCTGTTGATCTATGTGTTTAATGTTTTGTGTTTTAGTCATCCTTTACGTTTATGTTTTAAATTAGTTCAAAATGCTTTCCCTTGTCCTCCTTCCAAATGATCAATAAATGTAATCCTTAATCTCGAGTAAGCCGCGAGTAATCGGCCCCCGTTCTACTAACATTAGTTGTAAGAAATGATATAAATGTAAAAAATATTCGGCTCCGCAAAGCTAACGCATTTGAGCCTCGACAAATAAATGGATTATATAAAAAAAGTGTCTGAAGGCCTGTAAAATCTCATACAAAATATTACATTTTCACCTGCGTGAAAAACGCAATTCGTAAATATTTCACTTCGCTGTAAACAGATATGATCCAGCGAAATCGAATTTTGTGAATCACATCTTTTTCGCTTACGTTTACTTTTTCACGTTTCGAGAAAGAGCGTATCTGTCAGATGTTTACTTCACCGGAGGTGTAAACTGATCAATTTCATTTCACGTGAACTGTGAACCGCGAAAAGAAGAAATAGGAAAATGTTCCACATGTGCAACAGTTTTGTCACAACCCTTTTCGCTAGCAAAATTTCATGATTTTTCACTTGCTTCAAATTTGACCTCAATTCGATATACTAGGCTTAAGAGGGTGCTGATCGAGTTGGCGTGAAATTCGTCTATAGGCCTTCAAACTGCTTTGGCTTGGGAACAAAGAAATTTCGGCATAAATCATCACCACGTTAACGTTTTGCGTTTAAAACATTTAACTCTCTAATCATCTTATTCCGTTGATTGAATCAACATTATCCATCAAAATAGAAAAGAACAAAAACAAACACCCCTACCTTCTCCGCTTCAACCTGAATAATATCAGCTTTCAACATCCATCTTCTCCGGCTGGCCATTGTGCTGCACCGGCGGTGACTGTCCGTCTTCATTACCTTTGGCAGCTTGCTTCTCCTTTTCGGTGAGCGTCCTCGCTTTGTCTCGACGTGATTTGATGAAAATTTTATGTCCAACGCAATCCTGATTACCGTGAAAGCATTGATTCTTGCAGCAGACGCGGCACAGCCGGTGGCCACATTTCAAACCCTGATTAGCAAAGGAGGAAATCGCGTCCGTCATTAGTCTGGTGATTAAAATTGTCGTCTTTGTGAAATCTTACCATCGGATTAGTACATTCAATCTTCTCATTTTTGCAAATCTCGTCGAATCTTCTCCCCGGCTCTCGATTCGGATCCCCCGGAAGGCGACCGGCCCGATTCGGTCTTCTCTGGACGCGTTTCATTTTCTTCATTTTCTTGCGGGAAATTTCGTTCCCTTCCGGGTCGTAGAACTGACGTTTCTCGCGGTTGGGATCGGAAGCCAGCCGGGTGGCTTCCTGGAGTTTCTGCCGGTGCACCTCCGGTGGGGCACGGATGTACGGTTGACAGAACCATGGCGGCAGGGACAGGTTGTAGTCTAACTCGTCGCAGGATTCCGTCGGTGGTAGACTGGTTTCCTCTCCGGTCCACTGTTGGCGACCTTCGTGGAATGGAGCGTACTTGTCGTCCAGCTCTTTGACGATCGCTCGGAACTCGGCTACGCTATGGCATAGAGCCATTCTCTCCCGAAGCGGGGCGTTCGTATTCAAATTCATTCTGGAATGTTTACAGTGTGGTTATTGGGAGAGTTTACAGCAATACAAGAGGGCTTACAAATGATGCATAATCTTGAAGAGATGCCCCCGAATGTACGAGATCGGTGCTGGATACTGTTCGACAATATCCAGATATTCGTAAGCAACACTCCAAGCGGTCGGATTTACTCCTTCAAACAGGAACGGATTGAACAGATTGCCTTCGGCAGTCATGATACCATTCACGCCGGTTTCCTCCATACAGCGGTGCAGGTCTTGGACGCACATGATGTTACCATTGGACAGCACTGGAATGTTGAGGATTTCTCTGTTGGGATAAAGAAACAGTTTTAACTTTCATCTTTCAGTCGTGGGGGTGGAAAGAACCTACTTTAACTTTTTAACATATTTCCAGTCGGCAATTCCCGTGAGGGGTCCCTTTTGTTCGCGGGTTCTTCCGTGAACGGTTAACATCTGGCACCCGGCAGCTTCCAGCATTTTGGCATACCGGATGGTCTTGTTAATATCTTCGAAGATACGTATTTTGCACGTCACCGGTACGCTGAGGTTTTTGTGGAGGGTGGTTACTGGAATGATATCGGGAGAAAATAGGGAACAACATTAATTTAAGACTCTTCTTCTTATTTTCCCTCGCATTTCAAGCTTATTGCTCATCGCATATTAGCTTATTACGTGCTCTCAACTTAGTGTTCTAGATGCACTTCCACAGTTATTAATTGAGAGCTTTCGATGCCTGTGCCATTTTTGCATTAGTATAATTCAAGCTGAACGTTGCATTAGGTCGAAGACTACAAATCAAGAAGACTGGCAACTATTCCCTTCGCCCATACAAATGTCAAACGTCACTGATAACAGCGGCTTTGACAATCAAAAGTGGAACTTTGAGGCCAAGTGTTAGTGAGATCGCTTATTAACAGTGACTGTGTGTGTGACCTAATGTCACCGAAACGAATAATCATAACACGGTACTCGTTGTCAGGCATGGAAAATCATTTGCATTCATTTCGTGCATTCATTTACATTCATTTGCCCCTAACTTTTTTCATCAACAGAATTCCGCAAAATGGTGTATGGAGCTTTTGTAGGTTTTGTTATTAGCTACAAATCTAGAAGATCTTCTGAATAATTGATCAATCTTGTAAAAATATCCAAGGGGCAAAGTTCAGTGATCGTCTATGAATTTGCATTAATTCAAAAAATTAGGAACACTTTGAAGAAGTACCATTAACCGTGGGGAAATATCGAGAGCTAATATAATATCGAGAATAATTATGAATATTAGGAAAACTTCGAGAGCTTAAGCAAAGCTCCATGAATTTTAGGGAAGTCCAGAGAACTCTAATTTATTGAGAAGTTTAAAGAACTTTGGGGAATAACGATATCTTTAGAGAAGTTCCGAATATCGGGAAAGTTCAAAGATCTTCAAGAGATTATTCAGACAACTTCGTACATTTCAGGAAAATGCTTTTGTAGGTTTTGTTATTAGCTACAAATTTTGTTCAAAACTCAAATCCGTATCTCTTATGCATGACGAACCAGAGCAAACAGAATCCACTACTGTTTTTCAGTGAATGTATTTTACATTCACTGAAAAACAGTGACGAGTTCTGCCCGCTCTAATTCGTGATGCATAAGAGATACAGATTTGAGTTTTTCACAAAAGTTAAAGCTAATAACAAAACCTACAAAAGCTCCATACATCATTTTGCGGAATTCTGTTGATGAAAAAAGTTAGGGGCAAATGAATGTAAATGAATGCATGAAATGAATGTGAATGATTTTCCACGCCTGCTCATTGTTGTTTTGGTTTTGCTGTACAAAATTTCACGGCAATTTGTATCCTAATCACATCAAGCCGGTGGTTTTCCAACTCCAAACCGAAAAACTTGTCATGGTGGATCAAGTAGAGGATTGAAACTCGGATCGATACCTAGGAATTGGCGGCTTCCTACTCCGTTGCTGCTGAAAATTCAAGGATTCAAAAAGAAGAAAGATCCGGTACCTACATCACGCTCCAACGGAAGGCGTAGCAGGATCTAATGTTGGAGAAAATGAAAATGAAAGGTTGAAGGACTACAATCCCAAACGGTAAGTATCGATAAAGGATATATTTCCATTTAAGATGTTGTCAGAACATGAAACCACCGGATAGTGATCCTCTGTATGCTTTAACAATTCTTGGAATCGACCGAACACTTCCACACAATGATAACAACAGTGTCGGATTGGCCAGTAACATTCAAATGGTCTGCGAGTACTGTGTCAAGTTGCCGAGCGTCACAACGTAACTCCCCCTGTTGTGGTCAGGTGCAAAAGCCATACGGAATGGACATGCATTTTACTAATGCATCATACGAATGCCGATAAATGCATCCCTAAAGAGCTTAGGAAAAGTGGAAGATAATTCTGAGATAGTCCCACCATCATTGTGAATGGCATTATTGCCATAGTTTCAATTTCCAAAACAAATATACCTTTAGCATCGTTGTTAGCATAAAGCAAAGAAAGAAAAGTTTCACTTTTTACGACAATCATAACAAAACCAATAATTGACTGCTACTTATTTCTACCTATGTGTGTGAATGCACTCGTGGATTAACACACACCATCATACACAGCTTTCACTTTTGCTCAGAAGAGGCGTTGCCGTTACTGGCTCCTGATTTTTGGCAGAGTTGCCAGTCTTCTTGATTTGTAGTCTTCGATTAAATAGGTCCAAGTAACATAGGCAGATTCTCTCCGTCGACTTTCTCTGTGCATTCCCACGGCCATGTAAAGAAATTCCCATGTATTTTCAGAACACAGATTGATAAAAGAAGCTTTTATCTAGCATCTAATAAGACGAACACATCAAGAAACGGTTATGTGCTCTAGTTATTAACGAAAAAGAACTTCGACGAAGAGAATCGATGTTCAGCTTGAATTGTGTGTCTGCTCTAAATAATCGCAGGTTACCTGTCTCATACCGAATCCATAGGAACATTAACTCGTCTAATTGTACGTTCATTATGCTTTGTTAAATCAGACGAGTATACGATGTATCCGCAGGCACTGCGTCACGATTACAGCACATTAAACTTAACTTTAAGATTTCCATCCCGATAAGATCTTCAACTGAACCGGGGTTATTAAGTCGGTTATTTCGTTTCGATGTTATTAAATTAGTATTGTGTCAATATCGCGTACCCTGAATAAACAATCAAATCTGGTGATTCAACATATTCCGAACATTTATTTTACTATTAAAGTCTGGAACGTGCAAAAATTGGTCAACTTCATATTGGTGTATTTCTGTTAAAAATGCATAAAAACCTGAAATGCTGCATTTGGAAGTTGGCAAAATTGCTGGATGTGGCCAAATCGACCGTGACAAACGTTTTGAAAGTGTTCAGAGAGCGTCTATCGACCGCCAGGAAACCTGGAAGCGGCGGCAATCGTAATCCGGACGTGGCAGCAACGACGAAGAAGGTGGCGGTGAAACGGAATCCTAACGTCTCCATCCGGGACGTCGCTGGCAACGAGCCGGGTTGTCGACGTTTAAGAAGGTGAAGGTGGCGAACCGAGATTACAAACTTAACACGTCGCAAAGCAGCGATCCCGAAAGCTGTATACGAATCTGCTCACAAAGTTCGACTGTGTCGTCATGGACGACAAAACTTATGTGAAGGCGGATTTCAAGCAGCTTCCGGGACAGGAGTTTTATACCGCATCAGGAAAAAGGGAAGTGGCCGAAATTTTCAAAACCAGCAAACTATTGAAGTTCCCGAAAAAATATCTCGTCTGGCAGGCCATATGGACGTGTGGTCTAAAAATCAGCATTTTCATTACTACGGGAACCATCAATCAAGAGATCTACTTCCAGGAGTGCCTGGAAAAGCGGCTGCTACCATTCCTAAACCAACATAATAGACCTGTGCTGTCCTGGTCGGACTTGGCGAGCTGCTACTATGGGAAAAAGGCAATCGAGTGGTACGATGCGAACAACGTGGTTGTGATACTCAAAGACCGCAACCCTCCCAACAGCCCAGAACTCCGCCCTATCGAAATATATTGGGCCTCGGTAAAACGGAATCTTATAAAAACTTAAATCCATGGAAAACGAGCAGCAGTTTAAATCTAACTGGCGTTCGGCGGCGAATAAGGTCGATTATACCACTGTGCAAAATTTAATGAAAGGGGTTAAGCGGAAGGCACGGCAGTTCGGACTTAGCAAACCAAAAGAATAAACGATCATTTTTTCCTTTAAATATATGAATTCAACTACCAAAAGAAAAATAAGAAGATTTTTGTGAAATGAATTTTGACTGAAAGAAACGATTTTTTTGTCGACCAACTTTTGCACGTTCCAGTCTTTATTTTCATCCGTCTTCATTGGAATCTTTCTTTTTTTCCTCATTATGCCAGCTTCCTCTGCATCTGTATCAGTACTATGATCATGTCCATCACGCTTTTCTGGCATACTAGTGCATTGTTAAATTAAATTCAGTAATGTTTAATTTCGTAAATATCGGGCTGTCATGTGTTGATTGGATCCAGATTCTCGATTACCTCGATTGGCGGAACATAAACCAACCTATGGAAAATGTAGCAAGGGAAACTTGCCAGGTATTATGTGTGTAAAGGTAATTCAAATCGGGAACTTATCTTCCCGGGTATTCCCACCGGAATAGCTGAGCTTCTAGTAGCTGACCAAGCGGAATAATCGGCGCTCTTGGAAAAATGCGTATCGTGAAATGGACGGGTTCGCACCAGCATAAAGGGTGGAACGGTAAAAAATTGGTCGACATAAATTTGGTGTATTTTTTTTCACTCGTGCACTTAAAAAATCCCTCATTTTGAAGGTGTGTGTGTAGGGAATGTTGCCTCTATTTTGTTATGGCCATTGGCGTTGTCAAAATGGAGCCGAAGCAAGAGGAACATCGTATCAAAATTTTACTCGCGCATATGGTAAATGATTGATGCGACAGAATTTCGCACGAAGTCGACGAAGAGATGACCAAAGTGAGCTTCAACAAGAATGGTAGATTGATATTTATTTTTATAAACAATTAATCATGTCCTCTTCCCACCGTAGGTACTTGAAATGAGTATCACATCCCGAAATCAACTTTAAGCGACAAATTGAATGGAAATCATCCCCAGCGACTTGGAAAAGATGCAGTTTTAAGTGCTTCGATTGGATTCTTCTGTGCGCAGCGTCCGGATGTCTCAAAACCACAAAGGAGATACCTGAAGCAGCTTCTGAACATGCATCCCTCCAAGGCAGCATTTTCAAAAGGGGAATACCATCGACAGGATGGCTGAACAAGTTTTTCCGGAGACATCCTGAAACCTCAAAGCGGACACCAGAAGCACTTGGAAGAGCATCCGCGGGGTTGACCGGTGAACGACTTGAACGATATTTTGAGTACGTTTATAGCCAGTTCGAGCTAGGACAAATGTTGTACCTCTTGGATCGGCCAGCTTCATGGTGAAATGTGGACGAAACCAACTACGTTATGAATCCAGTGCCAAAGAAAGTGTACGCACGAAAAGGGGCGAAGGTTGTTTACAACGTTGAGCGTGG